GTATACATTTGTAGCAAAAATTACTTATATATTGTACAAAAATTTTCGGTTTGTAAAAAATTCTTTATATTTTCTCGACACGTCTTATCGGCGATTTTCTTTAAAAGTGAAAGGGTTGAAAGCGAGATACCTGTGAATGTAACTAAACGGAACACGGCAGAGATGTGTGCGCTTCTCGCGGTTCTCCCTGAATCGCAATCGTGCCAGAATCAAGCACAACCCCGGAAATTTTTCGGTCGATCGAGCCGCGCGCGTTAATTACGCGCCGCTCCGTGCGCGAAAGATTACAAGGGTTTTCGCGGCAGCGGTGACGACTGGAGGTAGGGAAGGGAAGGGGAGGGGGAGGCGAATGTGGGGTGGAAATTTCGCGGTATTTCGACAGGGATCTTTCCGGTTGTTTTGGCTGCAACCGTCCGGGTGCCGTTACCACCATAATTTTCGCGGCGCCGCGCCGACTGCCTCGGTGCAACCAATTTCGACGCCGCATTACCCTTTTGCGGTTATCCCGCCGTTTGCAACGGCTCCGCAACGAATCAGGAATCGGCAGCTTCGGCACCGGTCAATTCATCCAATTCGATAGCCAGCTGCAAACCCGTCATTCGATATATTTCGCGATCGAAACCGCGAGATAAAGTTGAAATTCCTCGAATATTGGATAAATTATCAGGAAAATTTAAATAGATAAGAGGCACTAACTGACATTCCTTGTATTGTATCCTTAGTCTTATGAATGATTGTTATAATTGCTTCATAACTGCAACAACAATCCCAGGGATTGAGTTAAAGAAAATTCTTTTTTAATAAAAATTATTATATCTTCTTATGCACTTTATAATTTGATTGCATTTTAACAAGTTTCCTTTCATGTTTAGTAGCATAATAAAGCAAATTTTTTTATTATGCAGAGCCTAAATACGCTTACTAATATCATTGATCCGATAACAAAGTAATCTGTTGAACTCAATTAATGCGAGATCTTATGCCTTTAAGATTTTTTCCGTAATAATAAAAAGTACAAAACTATAATATAATATCTGCAAATATTTTAAAGCAGCTTTCAAGATTAAGATTCTTATAGAAGCTAACCCTCATCACTAAATTGCAACATCGTTTGAAGAATGCAAAACATAATGTACTGTCTCCGGACAATCAGAATACAACATTAAAAGCGAGCTGAAATAGTTTCTATTGTGTTATCGACCAAATATTTCACTCAACGACATGTATATTAAAAAGAACTATATATTCAGAGATTTATATTTACTATAATTATAGTATCTAATAAATAAAATATTTTTAATTTATGCACATAATTTATATGCAATTTATGATCATTCTAGAGAAAAATATCATGATTTCATTGATCAACATAAATGTCTTGAATTTATTAATTTTATTAATATTATTAATTTTTATAAAAATTTATTGAGAGACAGTACATACATATAATTCTTTTATTTTGTTAGCTCGACAACGTGGAGATACTACTTTTTAGAATCGTACTATTATAAGAACAAAGACAAGCTTCATGCTTGCGATCCAATTTTCGAAATCCGCTGGAAACTATAATACTCGACAAAAGGAAAATTGCCCTCCCCTTCGTGAGTCCATCCGGAAATCTCATCGGGAATGAAATCGCCTTTCGAAGCATTTTCGTGGTATCGCGAACAATTCTAATCTTTATGAACAGACCTTCGTGCCGAAAAACGCAAGCTTATCTATTTATCTAATATATTTAGGAAAAAATTTGATAATACTAATTTTTTTAAGCTACTAAAAATATGAATTTTTCAATTTCACAGATTGAACTGGAATTTAATTTTCTTTAATTTTATAATATATTCACAATTTTAACGTATTTTTACGATATAAATTTGACATTTAAATACAATATTAATTATAAAAGAATAAGATCTTTATTTTCTACTTAATTAAACATTGAAACAAATTGTGTTAATAATTCAGTACATTACTTTCACATCGTAATTGGAAAACTATTGCAACTTCATTACATGTTGCTCTCTCGACTTTTCCATTTCGACGGCGACAGAGTTTTTAGCACGGACAACTTGCCGCCGAGGCTTTCGGAAGACGGAAATGGCATACGGCAGCAAGCGGAAGCTGATACAAATAACGAATAAAGTGCCGTCTTTCATCGTCGAAAAAAAACGCATTTCTTCCGGCAGTGCAAATGAGCTGCGGACCAGGCCGAAGTGCAATTATCTCGGGCGAAGTGCATGAATTTATCTCTTCTCCATGCTCGATGAATGCGCGTGCTGGCTACTCCGGAAAGATAAATATTCAGATATGCATAACAGGAAGAGGAGGCAAAGGCGAGCGCGCGGCCGCGATTTGTACGACTCGCCGACTTATTTCTTTCACGAGGGACTCCACGCCTGTCTCACTCGTTAGAAGAACATTAATTTCGCAAAATCGCATGTCCTCCAGCACCAAATGTACTTGCGGAAATGCAATTATGCGAGTGTACGCCAAGAGAGACGGAATATGAACGAATAACACAGTATTCTATTCTTCAAAGAGTCACTGATGGGCACTAAACGTGAAAATTTAATATAAGAGAGCTATTTATTAAATGTTCCCATTCCTCTAGAACGGCATATTTTGTTGAACGGAAAAATCTCCATTTTCATGATAATCTTTTTATGCAAAATTACAAAAATTTATTTACTTTCCCCTTTTCCAATTTTTCGAAATTTATGCTGAATTACATCGGAATCGACAATCTCATGTATATATCTATCTATTGTACGTATCTACGTAATATGCCTGTAGTAATCATGACTCGCTTTCTCTGTGGAGCGCGCGCTAAACGGCAATGCAAAATTCATTTAGCCTCGCATATTCGGCTAATTATACTTTGTCCCATTCTCTGCAGCCACCACTGGGCCGAATACGCCTTTGCCGTGCGTGTTACGCGGATGTATTAATAACTCTCCATTATTCCGTCGTGGCACGAAATCGCCGAGTTCCGTCAAATTTCAATTCTCGATTAATTATACAGTTAATTACGCAGTTTCACGTTGCCCGCGGAGCATTTTCAATGAGTCCCTCATCACTCTTATCGTAAAGCCCGTTGTGAAACGACATGATTTCACATTCTCATTCGGTCGAATATATACAAAAGGATATCTGAGAATCTAAAAATTATATCTACCAACGGTTCTTTTATATCTGAGTTTTCAATTTATAAAAAATTTGACTTTTTTTTTCTTAAATTTATTTTATACAATTATAAACAATTCGTGTGTTTTGTATGAAAATTCTTCGCCATAAATAACAATTAAAACGAAATAACAGCTAAAATGGCGGTGAAATTTATATCGACGCGGAATTGTGACAAATCAGTTCTCGAGATAATCCGTCGATTATCAATGTTAAACTACTCCTGGCAATACGCACGTATGTTATGGATGGAATAGATGCAAATGCGATTGTTATTTCGAGCGCTCGCATAAAACTAAATAACGAATGCGATCGTGCGGTGAGAGATAAATGAACGTATACAGTTAATAGGAACGTATACCGCGATTGTTTTAAAAATGCGCACGTAACAGCTCGTGAATTCGCATGATGCATATTAATGCGACAGTAATCGCGCGGACACACGGTGACATGGGGATTGGATAAGGCTAATGCCCCGGTTCGTTCGGTTTCTCGCGCGATGCATCATTTTATGCATTTCTATGCAACGTTGCGAATGATCGCAATTTATGATTGTTTGCTGAACGCATACGTGGTCAACTGAGGAATCCATAAAGAACTTTTATCGATTAAAATGATAAGAAGATGCGAAATAAAAATACAAAGTTATGATCGCTTGAGAATGACAGCTATATACTTGCCGAAAACGCTAGAGATCAATTTTCCAAGCAATCTTACACGCTTGATCAGCTTTCAGGAATATGTCAGATCCAATATTGAGTCTTGCGCTAGGGGGATAATAAGAGAAGAGAGTGCGCGCTCGCGTGTATGCTGCTCGTCGGACCAACTGAAGGCGAGAAGTCGCCGTAAACCGCCCTCGCGACGCTCGTTCTAGTTCCAGAACTGTTCGCCAAGAAATCAATCGAGGGTGCGAATGCCCCGACACACGAGAAACACGCTGCCATTTCCCCTGTACTGTTGCTATATTACGCTGACCCCAATTCTACAAATCCGTCGAGGCTCCCCGGCGCCGACATATAAAATTACGTCAAACTTGGGACTATTCCGTCTCAAAATACCAGTACCGTTCCTTGGAGAGAGATTTCTTAAACAATTTATGCTCAGAGGCCTTGTATCTAGTCATGCAAATGGCTAAGGAGCGGATTATGACATCGCCCTTTACTACCACGCTGTGTAAAATCTGCAATTTTGTAACGTTTTACATAAATAGAAGCTGGAAAATGTTATGTGGAATAGCATATTAATGCTAGGATATAAATACAGCAACTCCAAATTATATATTTTATATTTAAAAAAGATAGAGATAGGAAGATATAGAGGAAAATGAAAAATGAGAATTGTTCATTTATGTTGTGAATAAACCAGTTATTCATAATAAATAAAAGCGGATTTTTTAAATATATATACATAATAATAATAATAATAATAATAATAACAATAATAATAATAATAATAATAGCAGGATTTATATAATATTTTAAAATATTGAAATCCCGAAACATACATTACTAAAAAAGCTCGCGCAAATGAAAAATGTAGGCGGTCGAAAAATAAATATTTTACAAAGTGATTGAACCGAATCGAGCAACGGATTGTATAGTTTTGCATTTATAACAATTTCCAATTTAAGATCCTACAACTGGCATTTTGTTCCCAGGAAGAATCATGTACTCATCGCCGCGAAAAATTTAAACCCCACGTCGTGATAATACATCTACCCTGCATCACATACTGCATCACATTCCGCCGCATTCCAAGATCTCTGGAACGCTGGTAATAAAGGAGAAGTATCCTACGAGTGCTCGTTTCTGTTTCAGGTGAACATCCGGCCGCGATGCAGCACGGAAATACGGCAGCCGGCTCGCCCAATTCCAAAACGGTACTGGTGATGCTCGCCTTCCTTCTGGGTCAGCTGAGATAATGTGCGCGTACACGAAGGTCGCTCGAGACACTTATGAAATCGATGGCCACGCATAGCGAGGTGATTGCCCACACATCCTTAACTTTAATTCTTTTGCACAGACTATTCTGAATTAGATCCTGGATAGTTATGTCATTTAGATCGCGGGACGATAAGACTACATAATTTACATAATTACGTAATGTAAGGTCATAGTCGGACAATTAAAGTGAGGTTTAAGTTACTGAGATCGGAAAATGAAACTTATGGAATCTGCGAACTGATACTTTTCAAACTGCGATTTTTATCTCTTTCAATTAATAGATTTTCGAAGAACGATATTTCAACCCTTATTCTCGACATTATTTTTTATGGCGTTTGTTATTTTGTTATAGTTATTTTTTTTTTAATCGTATATATGTAAAATAGAAATGCGTCGGTTATAAACTAGAAATTTTCTCCGTTTAAATTACTCATTTTGAAGCGAAAACTTTTTTGAATTTGCCCCGTTATTACTTTAATTATGTCGTATTTTAGATGCTCTCATTGTGGCATTTATCTTGTCCTTTTTAATCTCTCACGAAAATACTCATCTCGTTTATCTTAAACTTAATTGTGAGGTTGGCCGCTAGAATGAGAAATATGAAGATAATCTCTGAGAGACAGCTAGTTCTTACGTAATAAAGGGGAGACTCTGTGCCTAAGGGTTAAGGAGCGGAGTGTGAGGCAGCCGTATACGGCGGCGTTTCAGAACCACGGATTCTGCGCGACGAACTTTTCAGTCGACTTTTCTCCGATTATCCGAAAACTCGGAAAGAAAACGAACTCGGAGCCGAAACTTTTCATACATTTGTCGTAGCGACAGCGGCAATATATTTGCAGTTGAAAACTGTACGTACAGAACATTAAATAGCTGCGTAATGATAACAAGCGAACCAAGGCGTTTTCACTTTGTTTCAGTAATTGGCGTACTGAAAACGTTTTCAGTAATTGGCATACTGAATAAATAATATTTTCAACATCAATTACGTCCAAAATTAATAATTATCATGTCGTGTTTAATGACCGTTCGCCCAAATAACAAACAGATTCTCTCGTTTACTTTTATTAATTGACGATGCATCTGATTCGTCGAACGCATCGTTTTTTAATTGTATATCGTATTTCAAATATTCTTTTTTTTATTTTTAATTGTTTTTCTTTACAACACAATTTGTAAACACATTAATAATCAAATAATAGAATAATACCAATCGCGATACAATATCGATTTAATTCCGATTTGTTTATGGCAGATATAATAATCAAAGAAAAGCGATTAATTGGCGTGATTCAGCATGTAGTTATTTTCGCATGCTAAGCTTCTTTTGCATTCTATATTCAAACATAGATGATCAAATAATAATAAAAACTACGTATTCGCAAATACTTAATTAGCCAGACATCTGTTTGGCTTAGCTCAAGAAATTAGTTTATGCTTCGCAATTTAGCATCGGTACAATTCAGTGTTGAGATAATACACGGCAAGCGTTGAAAAATGATTCGTACGACCACAGACAGAACAGTCAAGGGTTCTTATCATATCCACGAATGACGAAAACGAGTGTCAATATTATTCAAGAATTTCAGCGACGTCGAGATCAGGATTCTTACAGTTTATAATTAAAGATGGTTTCTGCGCGTCACGCGCGAGAGAAGGATTAAAGATTGCATTGTCGTTGCTGAGATTTTAGGATAATTGCGTCGTAATATCTAACAATGACGCGGTGCAAACATAAAAATTAACGATAATGCGCAGCACGAATGTTGACATGAAGAGACATAATCGAGCGCGGATGTCGCTAGGAAGAAGATAGAGCGAGCAGATTAAACAGAATTATGTCTCGCGCTTTTTCCCGACCATAGAGAGAAAATTCGTAAGAGGAAGGTGTTAAGTGTAAAATAAATGTGTCACGAGCAAGTTTAACCAAAGGGCGATGTAATAAAAAGGGGTAGACCGATAGTCTCTCCACCCGCGGCAAAGTACTTTCTACTTACAGCATAAGTGTTAAATGAAACTTAAAGGAAAACACACACAGAGAAAACACATATACATGCATACACACACCTTACAGATAATAGTAGAGAAATGTATGTAAACCACACACACATACACGCGCGTGACTTTACGACTCATATGATTTACACCCACGACTAGCTCGAAAAAAGAAAAAAAAAACTGTGTTCCCTACCCACTCGCATCCTTCTCACAATCTGAGTTTTCACACGGTTCTCTTGCGAGAAAACGCATTCTTGTACATAATGTTTTACTCTTGTAAATAAATTATCCACACAACGCTTCTCGATTCATTCTCGCCGCGCATGTCCCGTCAGCCAGCGATCACCTCGTATAATATCGAAGGACATCATATTTCGATAGAAAGAAAAAAAGATAATTCACTCGTGTAAAGTAGAAAACTGTCTGCTTGTTTTAATCCTGTCGCAATTTTATTTCGTTATTACTAGAGACAGAGTATATAATTGTGATACGGAAATGTAGACTAAATTTTACGATGTAACTTTTCGTCTATTTCGTTAATAATGGTTGGTAATCCGGCGCTAATGGCTGCAAGAAGATAGCCCTCAAGAAGATCGATAGCCATGACCCCGATGCGTTTCCCCAAACTTTTCCTGTCGAGGATATTTAAGAATCTCCGGCTTCGGCTCATGAACTCTCTCACTTGCAGACCATCCTCGCAAAATAACGATGGCGCCTGATCAATTTCCTTTAGCCGTTCAATGTCTTCGAAAAGGCGCTACAAGAGACGGGGTTCTTTTGACCCCATCAATCGAGCCGTTTACTCCGAAAATGAGAGGTAAGTGAAATTTTCCACAATTTTTTAGAGTAAACTGTTAACAGCATTATCAATACTTTTGATATTTAATGCAAAAACATAGAAACGTATTAAACCAGAGGGTCGCATTTTAATTTTAACGATTGCTCAATAAATGCTTAACAATTTAATTTTGACAAATTGCTCGAGAAATTTGAATCGAAATTTTCTCCGCGATATTTGTACCGGGGACGTCTATATATGTAGATAATGTAAATAAAGTATTTACTATATATCACTGGGAGGTGATCTTGTAACATGTCCAAAGTTTAGCCGCAAGTTCAAAGTTCCGGCATTGGACCGTAAGAGATCGGATGCAGCGCGATAGAGTTGCAGTCGGCACATGCATCGACAACGCGGCGACGCAATCAGACCGAGATAGTTCGATGAATATTTATGCGCGTCCCACCTACGCCTTGCAAAGCCGCGACAATCCATTGATGATATATACGGTGAATTTTTTAAGAGACATGCGCCGCGCCGTTCGAATCCCGGGAGCCGTGACAGCCGCGTTGTATTCACGAGAGAGTAAACAGAACACAGGTGACGCGCGAGAGAAAAGAGGAAATTAGAAACGTATTTGGATCAAAAAAGCCTATCACCTGTCACAGGAAAGAAAAAGAATACGTTAAAATCGCTGATTTCAATTGAAATTGAAGTAATATTCCTTGCAAAATATAACGCGAAGAAAGTGTTCTTTTTTTTTCTTTTTTTATAAAAACATGAAAATTATTATTTTATTGAATATTCAATTATTTCGATTATTTGATATCGAAGCAACTTTTTCGAAGTTTTTCGTAGTCTGCTTTAATGTCCATTATAGGTTTTTAGATCGATTTGTATAGTAATTGTACAAGAATCGCGCCTAAGTTCTAAGACGCTGTTTTTAGTTCCAAAATTGTATACTATAGTTAACGAAATTTTGTACTTTAATTGAATTATCGCTGCGCCGTTTAACTTAATTAGAATCGTTCAACCACACACTTGACTTTCTTTAACAAAATAACTACGCGTGCATATATTCGTGTATACGCACAATTCACCGTTGACGTTTCTGATCTCTCGCATACCAAAGAACCAACTTGCTAACTATGTGCGAAACTTTGATTAGAAACGAGTATAACTACTTGAAATTGCGCAAGCAAATCTGATGTCACGTTTATGAAATAAACGAGAATATTTTCGTGGAAGTAAATATGAAATAAATTTAATTTACGTGTCATAAAATCTAAATTTTTTAAAAATACTAGAAAAAAAACAACCGATATAGCGATAAAAAATATTAAATTCATTTTTCGATGCTTTTCACAAATCAAAATTTAATATATAATCAATATTCATTTATAAATTATTAAATATAATACATATATATATACTCTATAATAATATATATAATTAGACAAAATATATAATAAGTATACGGCGCTATTTCATTAATTACATACAATATATTTCTCATTAGGAATAAAAATAGTTTTGTTTATCTTCACAATTTTCCAAAGTATTTTTCCAGATTTCTATGCACAATTTGAAATAATAAAAAAATAATAAAAAATCGTTTAACTCATCAAAGTTTCCATCATTGGAACTTGATCAGACAACGGTAAGGTATATTTTGTATAATTTATGTATTTGTCTAATTCTACAAAAAAAGTGCAACGATGCGGTTTCTTACGTAGAGAAGAACAATTTCCAAAAAATTCTCAACTGCATGCAGATTACATGCGCGTTGGCATGCATGAAAAACCATTATACGTTTAACGGTAAGTACGTAAAACGAGAGTATTAACGCGCATTCGCTACGCTAGAATGCGAAATTGCTCTTACATGTCGCAGCCGTATGTACGCATCATAATTAATGCACGCAGATTAGAGGATTAAACTAACTGCAGTAACGGCAACTAGTAACATTCTCAACCTAGATATGTAGCGCGGTCTGATGATGACACTCGGTCGGGCGTTTCGCGCGGATAATTTCTATTTATCACATAACACTAGCGAAGAGAAGTTTGTCCTTAGAATAATTCATTCTCCCGGATGTCGCGGCTATTCTATTCTATGCATACATGAGCGCGGTTTACGTCAATGTAAATTTATCATACCTATGTAATCGATCGCGGAAAATTAGCACATTAATCAGACTACAATTTCCTAATTTCCTAAAAATTACGCGAAAGTTTCGATTTAAAACTATTTTACCGGTTAAAGATCTTTATCTTTTAGCTTTTAATATTTTTCGCAAATAATTAAACTAAATGCGCAATCTTTACAAATGTAAGCGCAATAAAAGCATAAAAATTAAAATCATGTATTTCTGAATTGGGTCACTATATATCACGGTTTTAGTTCGCATGATGTTTATTTATAAAGTTCAAAAACCTCGTTGTAAAAGCAACTTGTGATATACATTCACAGATATGAATAATCTGATTGCAAATAAATTTGAATTACAAATTGAAATCAGTAAAATTTAGTAGATATATATACATATGTGGCGTATTCAACGCAGCTTTATTATATCTCGGAAGTATCGTTGTACATATTTATCATCTTGTTACTCTCAATGTTATTTTTGTAAAGTATTACAGTAACAAAAGACGCGATTAAAAATTGAAAAGAAGATATATGAGCTGAACTTTTATCTTGAAAAAGGGAATTGCTCGACGGAAAGAGGACAATCTCCCTCTGGTAATCCTGTCAATCAAAAGAGAACCGAATGCGAATTCGGCTCTATTAGCGACGGATTCATCGCAATAGCCGTGATTGGAAATAAAGTGTCGTGTGTAGGAGTTTCTTTTGACGTTCGCCCTTTGTTGTTTGCTTTGCCGAAATTATCACGGGAAGCGGATGCAATACCGCATACCAACGTGGGGAACGGGAGCGCTTTGAGCGACGTGCAAAGGATGCTGGACGCTTCAAATCTCTCCCTGGGTTTTCTCGTCGTTTACGCGTATGTCCCACTTTCAGCCCGGACGAACGTTGCCCGATGAACTGAACAGAATTCTCGATGAAAGCGACAGAAATTCGCTTCATTAGAGAGAAAGAGAGAGAGAGAGAGAGAAAGAAAGCGGGATCAGTCTTGTCCGACTCAACTCATTCTGTTACCACTGACACTACCGTATTCTTTTAACGCGAAAACGCGAAGCGGGTCGTTCATTGACACCACACACCGGTCTTTCTTCCCATAAAGACGGTAAGATATTTATTGCCCGGATTATAGATAATTTCAATAGCCAGCCAACTGTACGATCTCTGTAAAGGAAGGTAAACGGCGACTATTTTTACACTTTTTCTCGAGCAAATATAAAAGTTTGAACGGGGTTTTCTCGTTTACGCGTATGTCCCACTTTCAGCCCGGACGAACGTTGCCCGATGAACTGAACAGAATTCTCGATGAAAGCGACAAAAATTCGCTTCATTAGAGAGAAAGAGAGAGAGAGAGAAAGAAAGCGGGATCAGTCTTGTCCGACTCAACTCATTCTGTTACCACTGACACTACCGTATTCTTTTAACGCGAAGCATTCGCGCGGGTCGTTCATTGACACCACACACCGGTCTTTCTTCCCATAAAGACGGTAAGATATTTATTGCCCGGATTATAGATAATTTCAATAGCCAGCCAACTGTACGATCTCTGTAAAGGAAGGTAAACGGCGACTATTTTTACACTTTTTCTCGAGCAAATATAAAAGTTTGAAAATAACCATAGTAAAAAGAAAGGAATAGTAATTTTAAATTTAAAAAGAAATATAAAATAGTTATTTTATAGCAAGTAAAACATTATTTCTTACAAATTCCCTACATTAATTCTTACAAATTTTCTTAGTCGAATTAATAAATTTCTTTTGTTAGAGTTCAACTGATTAACCGGAATATTTTTCATTATTGTTCCCAATTACTTCGAAAATTAAACAACATTATTATTATTACTTGAATAATCAAACTACTTGGAAAAACGATATTAAAACTTTCTCGTTTAAGGAAAATTAAATAATACATGTAACACTTTATTTGAAGATGCTCTGATGATAAGAGATTAAATCGCGCCTAATCATAAAGCTCAAGGTTTAAATTGTTATGTCGCATATAATAGTCGGTACATTGTTACATGCAGACTGCATAAATCTGCATGTAGCAAGTCGACGTGGAAGCCGCGTAAGTTCGCTGCTTCTTTTCTAAATGGACCGAGGTAGGACACTAAACTTCCGCTAAGAAGATAACGCGACGGAGGCTGCATGACATCGGGTAGGCGCGCTTAAAATTCAGCGGCGCAGCAGCAAGACAACGTCATGAACAACGACGCCGATTTGCATATCAAAGGCGAGAACAAACTATTCAGGAGCGGCTCAGAAATCTTGAGCGCGACGCGCAGCGATGCGAGATCGCCGGAAAAATATTCCCTTCCATGTGTACGTGTTTACACGCGACACTTTATACGCGCACGTCCATCGCACGCCTCATC